TTCCTAATGGTATTTTCTTAAGATTTTTAATATTATTACCTATTTTGTCATACATCAAGGTTCCTTTTTCAGTGTGTGAGTGTTGTATTTGAAAATCACACACTTGAATTAGTGACCATAATGTATGATGAAAAAAACTGTCAAACCAATCATCTATTAAAAATTAAAATGTAATATTAGATGTAAACTACACAAACTTATTAATTATTATAGTAAGTTATTTATGATTATTACCATGATAAACATTTAACTTAGTAATTATTTCTTAAAAAAATTGTATGTTTCGAAAAGTGTTAAATTATAATTGTGCGATATTGATTTCAAATGTTTTAATATTTACCTATCATAAATAACGGGAAAGATATGTTTAATATAAGGTATGACTTAATATTTTATAATATAATATTTAAGTATAGATCAGATATTGAAAACTTTGTATGAAAAATTGTAAAACCCATGATTTCATATTCGACATATAATTTCAGAGGAATCTGGTGAAAACGCACTGCAGACGATCTTTGGCGTGAGCGGATGGCTGGTGTAGCTTCATTATCATTGCTTCATACTGGAGACTGACCTTCTACACACAGTACACTGTGCACCCAAGCTCTTTCCGCGTTTGTAGCCAGTTCAAGACCGTGTTTTGAACAGCGTAGAAACCGAGCAATGCGAATTGTTGAGAGAATATTTGTTCAATGGTTACCATCAACTGTTGGTATAACTCTTAGTGACAGTGCATAAGTCTAAATAAAGTCTAAATAAATTTAAATGCATAATAAATTGTTATTCAAACACAAATTTAATGGTATAAGCTTGAACATATTAATATTTTTCAATAAGAAACATTTGATTATTATGTACCTAAATGTATTGAAAATTAAATAACATATTTAATAATTTAAATTTTCTACAGAATTTCATAAAAAAGTCAACAATTTTTTTTCTCAATTTCTCAAAGTATCCAAATATATAACAGTATATTATTATAATACTTTTACTGTTTTATCGTATCTATGTAAATTATTATTTTTATTTGCGAAAACATAATATTTTCATGTTTGTAACATACTATTGTATACTCAAATTGTTATATTACTATTTTTCTTTGACATTACTATTGTATGCAGTTACACGTATGTTATAATCTTTGCAAAGGTATTTTCTTAAGATTTTTAATATTATTACCTATTTTGTCATACATCAAGGTTACTTTTTCAGTGTGTGAGTGTTGTATTTGAAAATCACACAGTTGAATTAGTTCCCATAATGTATGATGAAAAAAACTGTCAAACCAATCATCTATTATAAATTAAAATGTAATATTAGGTGTAAACAACACAAACTTATTATAGTAAGTCATATTATTTATGATTTTTACCATGATAAACATTTAACTTAGTAATTATTTCTTAAAAAAATTGTATGTTTCGAAAAGTATTAAATAATTATTATACGATATTCATTTCTAATGTTTTAATGTTGGCCTAGCATAAATAACGGGAAAAAGATGCTTAATATAAAGTATGACTTAATATTTTATAATATAATATTTAAGTTTAGAACATATATTAAAAACTTTGTATGAAAAATTGTAAAACCCATGATTTCATATTCAATGAATAATTTCAGACGAATCGCATGAAATCGCAATACACACGATCATTGGCGCGAGGGCGTGGCTGGTGTAGCTTCATTATAATTGCTTCTTATTCTACTGACCTCCTACACACAGTACACAGTACACCTAAGCTCTTTCCGCATTTGGAGCCAGTTCATGACCGTGTTTTGAAGAGTAGAAAACGAGCAATGCGAACGTTGAGAGAAGACTTGTTCAATATATTTCGAATTCACCACTATGCTTCAGGTTATCTTAATAGTTATATACATTACACTATCATACCGCGTTGTTTATTTATCATCGATTAATTAATATATAATATTATGAAATCATTTGTATATCATAATAACTAATAAATAATAATGTACAGCAGAGGTTACCACCGACTGTTAGTATAACTTTAAGTGACAGTGCATTTATAAATTGTGTTTAGAGTTTATACTAACGATTGATGATAACTAAAACTTTTGTTATAACTGCAGTTATATACTGTCTTAATAATCATATAATATATTTAAAATAACTGTATAATATAGATATTATTAAAATTCTGGTTTTTTATTCATTTTTATGTAGTAATATATATATAGGTATCAGCATCTGCATTATTGATGGTTCATTCGGGTGGCATAAACTCATTTGGCTAGTAACATATAAATCATATTGAGTTAAGGGTTTTTGCCACTCTTATGAGGCATCATTTAAACAACGGATTTGAAAAAATTGTTCTATTATTGTGTATTTTTATTTTACATAATACGAATATGCAATAATTAAATGCATAATAAATTGTCATTCAAACCCAAATTTGTTTTTTAATATTGTATATTATAATAATATTATAGAATAAGAAACATATTATCATTATAATAATATATATAAAATCACTGTACATTATAGATATTATAAACATTTTAGTATTGAATATATTTTAATATTGTATAAAGTACAGGTATCAGCAACTGCCTTAATGATGGCTCATTCGGGTGGCATAAACTCATTTTACTCGTAACATATAAATCATATTCAGTAAAATATTTTTGCCACTCTTATGATGCATCATTTAAACAACGGATATGTAAAAATTGTTCTATAATTGTTTCCTTTTGAAAATATGTTTGTTATTGAGGAAACAGACTGAGGGTTTTCTATGGTATTAATTATAAATATTCAAAGATATTTTTGTGTTCTCTACCCTTTACAATGTAAGTTTTTTCAATACCAAAATGCATTTAGGTACATTATTTAGTATCATTTTTGAATAAATTCTTTTGGTTTCCAGAAAAAAGTTTATTTGTTCCACAATCTGAGATAATACATTTGTTGGAATTCACTAACACTCTACTTATGCAACTCAGTGTGAATATGTCTTTCAATGTCAATGACTTTTGTATTTGTTAAAAAAGTAAAATAAAAAATTGCTTCAAATTTACTTTTTATGAAGTTTCTGCTCATAAAATTAATTTTTTTATGTTTAAAGATCACTTACTGGCCCACATTGCGGTACATTGTCATTAAAAAATTCACGACTCTAACTAAAAGATGATCCTAAAGCTCGAGTAACACGGGACAGAAAAACTGATGAAGAAAGAAATACACTGTGGTAAATATTTTCAATTATTACTATTTCAGCTCATATATATATAAGAAATATATAACTATAAATAAAAAGTAATATAATGTTATTAGAATTGTGTATTTTTATTTTACATAATACGAATATGCAATATTTAAATGCATAATAAATTGTTATTCACACCCAAATTTGTTTTTTATTTTGTACAGTGTAATAATATTATAGAATTAAAAATATTTTATTATTATATAACTACAAAATATAAAGGCAGTTATATACTGTCTTAATAATCATATATTATATTTAAACTAACAATATAATATAGATATTATGAACATTTTGGTTTTGTAAACATATTAATATTGTATAATACATAGGTATCGGCAGCAGCATTATACAAGTCCTTTTTTAACTATTAAAACTGTTGACAATTTATGTGAGAATTGTATTACTATTATTATTATACCACAGAAGTAAAGTAACACAATACAATAGTATAACATGTCCAGTTATCAACTGGTTCAGGATGTAATCATACAAAATAATATTGTTGAAGTATTTAATTGTAATTCAATGTAGGTATGATATCTTAGCTTCAACATCATGTGATTTTCCATATGACAATGAACTCATGATATACTATTATAAACAACTACCAAATCAATCATATTTATCATATTATTTATTATTTGGCAGTTACTACAAATTAAATTGTTAGCCCAATTTTGTTTACAAAAAAAGTTTCAAAAACAAACAGAAATATTTGACCAAAAATCATATAATATTATTTTGTTTTATCTCTCCTGTAAAATTTGTTTTTGTACTTGCATAATTGGATTCCTTTACTTCTGTGGTAGGTATCAGCAAAATAAATAAATGGTATTTCATTTCTAAAAACTGCAAGAAGATCACATTTTTACTAAAAATTGAATGATTAAATTTTGCGTAAAACATAACGTTAAATGATGCTATAAAATCAGACAATGTTTGCAAAAAAATAACCATTTCACAGCATAAAGATTTGATATTACCAAATATTAAAATCCCAATAATAATAATAAATAGGGCTCGGATTTTGTAAAGTTTACTACTATTTATTGTTTTTCAAATTTATTGTCAGTTTACAATATTTACATTGTACTTGTTCCATAAATATTTTAGTTGTAAATAATTGAATCTCAAGTTAGGTTGTATTTATATGAATTTTTTTTCTTTTTCAAATTTACTCAATATACTTAATTCTGTTTCTCAACTTAAAACTTATGTATATTTTTGAAGGGAAATTGGGAAAATTGATTGAATTACCATCATTTATTTTGTTTAATTATGCTTATCAAACTTAAAATTGTTTCTATACAAATATATAATGTAATATGTATACATGGTCTTATTAGATAGCTACAACACTGTAACAAGCTATAATATGAATAAAAAGTATACTTTGTAAAATTAAGTCTAAGAAGTTTAATAGTATATGTATATTTACTGCAACAACATCCAAGCCCCAAAAAATAAAAATGTAACATTATAAATAATCTGGTACATCTACATTCAATTTTAAACATTTTATATACTTTATTTTTATCCTTTTATGTACTTACAAATATTCAGAAACCTTTATAATCACAAGATTTAAATACATGTGTATAATATAAGCTGCAATATTTTAATAAAAATTATTTTATACACTTCATATTTTACATCTAATATTACTAAGTTGATAACTATTGTGAACACTTGGAAATATTTTGATTTATAATAAATAATAATATACATATAGGTAGTTTTGACAATTCTAAAATTAAAAATGTATGCTTGCCAATATTATACTGAAAATACAAATATTAACTAAACAATAAGATTACTCATAATTTAGAATTTTCTAAAAGGAATTAGTTAGGTAGTTAAAATCGAAAACTAAGAATAATACAGTGGACGCCGCTTATAAGACTCACGGATATAAGGTTCAGTTGCTTATTAGACTCAAAATTGTCTGAAACGGTCCGGACGTATCTAAATCCGTTATAAAAAATTCGGTTATAAAACTCAAATTTTGTAAAAAAAAAATGGTAAATAATAAACATTTTTGGTCAAAATTTAGAAATAAATTAATGTTTTTTGCTTTATTATGTGTGTATGTACAACAAATTGTATCGTCTTTCACATTTTCCAATATATTTCCGGAATATTAGTTAATAAAGGTTAATAAGTAATAACTAAAAAAAAACTAAATCACAATTTTTTTTCATAAATAATAAATAGGTACATTATACATCTTTTATAATTTTTTATTAATGCATACATTCATTTTTTACATGTATAGTAATTTCAATTTTTTTATCAGAATTTTTTTAATTTATTCAATATTACGTATGACATATGTAATATGTATTAGAGTATTAAAATTAAAGAAAAATATGTAGTAAAATAAAATTCATAAATATGTAATTAATTTTTTTTCCCACTTCACCTATAAAAGTCATTCGGTTATAAGTCTCACTTTGTGCTGGTCCCAATGTTAGTATTATAAGCGGCGTCCACTGTATTACATTTTGAAAGTTGTTTCAAAGCAAAGAGAAATTCATTAGATAGGTTTGGTTTTAATATCATTAGGTATTCTAACTTTAAATGTATAAAGCCATTTTAATTAACAAAATGTGTTAAATTGTTTCAATAATTGATGACACTACAGAATTATAAAAAAAATCTTGATAAGTAACTAAAATTATGGTAATATTATAGTTAAATAATCTTAAAATATATATTTCTTCACATCTTAGTCATAGTATTTTTTAAATAAACTACTTTACATTTTTCTACACAATAATATATTGTATACTAAACAAACACATAATATGTTACTTTTAAGTTTAAATTTTTCCAGCAGTCAATTAAGGCACCTACTTGGATTTATTAACTTGAATGTTGGTAATGTTAATTTGTTTATCAATTTATTAATACGTCTCCAATATATCATTTTTGGCTTGCAGACACTATGTCATGGTAGAGGTCTAATGATAATTAATTTAAAATAATAAATAATAATGTGAATTACATTATTACCATTTAGGTACCACATCAAATTAACCAAGCTTAAAAATTGAATAAGTGAATGATAAAAAAATAATATAATGATAATGAATGATGTATTAGCAAATTGAATACAATAAATACAATATGGATATACAATACTATGTATGTATATTATGGAGAAAGAAATATAATAGTACTTATAGACATTAAAATCACAGAAAAGTATGGCTCATTATAAAATAAAATAAATTGAAGGTAATTAGTAGGTAACACAATAAAAAGATGATTTTTAACTGATTTCATTAAATTAAAAAGTAATAATTATATTTAAAATGACTACAATTTCAGTACCTAATAGTGATTTTTGAAGCAGTTATAAATGTTAGAATACCTTTAAGACATTTTTACTATAGATTAACAATACTTAATCCATTGATAAATCATTGAAAATTATGAATAGAATATAATTATTTTTGGAATGATAATACAAATGTGTATCTTGGTGAATTGCAAATAATATGCACAGAAAAAAAGCACAAAAACATGAAAATTATATTTAAATAATTAATCTACTATGGATATAATATACTTATAAATATAATAAGCAATAAAATAATAAGTAACAAAAAAAATCAAATATAATTCCATATGTATGTTAACAATAAATTATCATTAGTATGACTTGGATACATATCATATTAAATAGTAAAATATATGAAGAAGTATTACAAGTTTTTGAAATCTGAATAATTTATATATAGGTATTTTAAAAAATTCAAAAATAAAAAATTGTTAAGTTTTCAAGATAATAATATTATCAATTATAGGTACCATGATAACAATTATGGTACCTACCTATTATATTTATTATAATAATGCAATGGACATGGACTATAATATGTACCTATGATAGGTAATGACATAATATGTACATCTTTAGATTGAAATGAAGTATCTACCTATGACGAATAATCACTAAAAATTAAACAGCAATGTTTATATTAATGTATTCACATCTACATGAAAATCAACTAGATAGGGATAGTTCAGTAGGCATAAAGTTTTTTTCAAAATTGTAGTACAAACCTTTGCTATACATTTAATCGGTAACTGTAAACATTTTAGAACCTTTTGAAACGTATTCATCACTTGTCAAATTCAGATAATTCCTTACCTATTCTATATTTAGGTACATACGAATCCGATCCGAGCCCTAGTTCTTACCTTAATAATATATGACATAAATCCAGACGCCTGAAGCACAGTAATAATTTTAGTACAATAAAAACAGTTCAACATACATTCACATCTTGCAACATCTAAATCCAAAATTGAATTTCCGTTTGTCTTGAGCTTGAGCAGTTCAGCAGTATTGTTGTGTACTTGTGCGTGTCGCGTGATAATATTATACTTAATACTGATTAGTGATTACTAGGGAACGGATTTTATTGTAATAAAAAAATCAAAATATGTACATAAATATGTACTTATTTTTATTGAAATATGTAAAAAAAAATCAAAATATGTAATAACCGCTTAACAGAAAAAATAAGTACCAAAAGTAAGTATAAAAATCTTATCTCTTATCTAATTAATAATTATTAAAACAATGCAAACTACATATTCTCTAAGATTTAAAAACGTAAAATGGCGGCGATTTGGTCGTAAAATGATTTTGTATTGACTGAATGAACGTTCCACATCAACTGACGTAATGATAGCACACCGATTTTTCACAACATTTACAGTATAAAACTTTCCCATCACTTTGAAATGTTTCATTCGGAAATTCTTTTAAATATGCAGCTACCTTATAATTGATTGAACTTACAACTTTAGGCATTCTAAACAATTTTATAAAAAAAACAACAAAATTTCGATGTAGATATGAAGAAAAAAACGATGCAAATAATTACGCTCGCCAGAAAACTAGAACAGTAACTAGACATACACTGAAGACTGAAGACCGTAACATTGATTAAACACGTTACCTACCCACTTGTCCACAGTGTATAATACGATAGCAGTGTATAAAGTACGAAAGTTCATTTAGAGAACGTAGATAATGTTTATCGTCATTGAAAATTACAAATATTATTATTTTAGGCTTTCATCGACACTATAAATGTGTAAAGGAATTGTTCGCGTACTTATTAGTTATTTTGATGAGTCGTCCTCTAAAATTATTAAGCCACATTTAATTTCTCGTTTTTAGATTCTAGATGGTGGTGGATGGGCAAGTAGTGACAGTTGCCCCTTAATTGGCTTTTTTTTGGTAGGGGGGGCAATCATTATAATTATTACGTAATATAAAATATCACAAATTTGTTTTCTTCAAATTTTTTATTTTAAGAATTATCATTTTATGGTAAAGCTGCTGGCTGCAGCTGCAGTTAACAGATATAATAATAAGTAGTTGATTTTTTACCTGCAGCAGAAACCGAATGATATTAACCGATTAGTAAAAGAACTAACCTTTTTTAACATTATTTTTGGTTGTTTTCTAGTTTTTTTTATAACTGGTGATTAGTTTAGAAGTTTGTTTTAAAAGTTATACTTGACAACACACAAGCGATTGGTAATTATTAAATTTAATGTTTTTAGACTTGAGTTCTCAAAATATGAAAAAATTTAGTGGTTTTTACTTTAACTTTTAGGTGTCATATTCATTTTAATAACCTAAAATTATCATTTTTTTAAATTTAAAGTTGCATTTTAAGTACCTCAATAAAATAAATCGAGTAAGGCATATGTACATAATATTATTAAAATTCATAAATAACTTTTACATTACTTAACCGTATGAAAAAAACATGCCACAAACAACACTTTGAAAATATGAAAATATTTTTGCACCTCTCTTGACAAATTTCTGCTTTCTTTAAATTCGTAGCTCTCGTTAGTGAATTATTTCCAATTACATCGCAGTGACCGTCGTAGTGCTAATATTTGCCACGTGCGATTGTCGGAGGTAGATTAAGTTGAAGTCTGAAAGATGATGATTTCAACGGAATAAATCGACCGGTCGTCTCCCAGGGGCGTCGGGGGAGTTGTCGAAGGGAGCCTCGTAGTATAATTGAAAACCAATAAATATTTTTACGAAAAACGTTTGCCATTATCATCGTGGCACACCGGTTGGGAAACGTTGAATTGTATACAACAATCATTCGCCAAATATAGCTTTAATTTTTTTTTTTATATCTAATGTGGTAAATAAACAATGAGTATAAATCATAAAATGTAAATTACATTCATATAAACATTGATTTTTTTTATCGTTTATAATTTTTGAGCCGTCAACATTTTGTGAAGACTTACGGGACTACAGTAGCCGCGGGATGAAAAAGTTTGAACACCTCTGCCGTAGGATGTCTGCGAACAAGTAAAACTACAGATTTAGGTCCACTCCATCAGGTTGTCGACCTGCACCATCGTGTGTACACCAGTGCGTTCAGGGACATCATCGCAGTGATATTGATTAGCCTGCTGCCTGACCAATTGTTCGAACGCGGAACGGGTAAGCGGCCAAAAGCACGGACGTTCCATAATATGATCGTTCTCGTGTCCTAGCGACACTTTCCCCCTCCTCGGTCCCCCCCCCCCGCGAGCTTGGCCCTCGGCCGTCGTGACCACCGGTCGTCGTATTTTTCCAGCGGTTGAACGGAGCGCAACGTTCGTGTTTTCTCATTCTCCGCGCGCGCGTGCCGCCGTGAAATCTCGCGTGATCACTAGACTGCAGGTGGTTTTCGCGTCGTTGCTGTGATCAGCGGCCGTATATAGTGTTGCTTAACGGTACGTATTCGCGAGTTCGGTGCTCCTGCGTTTAGGTTATATTGGGTGACCCGATTACGCTCCCGTCCTCCACCTTACGCAAGCCGTTGCCTGACTACCGCCTGACTTGTATATACGATCGGTATCGAACCACATTATTATTTATTCTTTATTATTTGATTTGTGCACGCATTTGTGAACTGGTCGTCAACACACCCCTTCACCATGGTAGTCATACGCAATTTATAATTATTTACAATACATTTATCAGTATCAATAATCCGTGTCTACAGTATAATTTCGAAAAACTGTAGGTGGTATGATGGGTACAACCGTTGTACCGTGCGAGTTGTCGGACCAACTGCTCGTAAGAGCTCGACAGCTCAAACAACAACTACCTCTGGCTACTATAAGCAGTATAAGCCCGACATTATAACGTCAATAAATGTCAAGTTAAAATTTACAATTGCGGGAAATTGAGTAACTATATTATGAAGTAGGTAATACAATTTTTTTTTAAATTAAATAAAAAAATATATAGTCCAATCAAAATATTTAAGTTAAAATTTAAGACTAAATGTTTTAGAGATGTAATTTCGTTGTTTCGACTGACAATATTTTAAACTATCATTATCGTATATTTTTCTTTTTTTCGGACTTGGTTTGCCGACCCAATACATAGAACTCGTAGTATTGTTACGTGGTAACAATTAAATTATTATGTCTATCACTACTGGTATTTTGTGTGTAATTGTGTATCCGTAGTGATAGATCTATACCAAACGGGGGAACGTGAGAGGATTTGGATGTACGATGTTCGACAAGACAATTAGTTATACCGAGTATAAAAGTATAATTTACGTAAACCTATATTTAAATTTTAAAGTGTAAAACAAAATTTAATATAAATTATTTTACTTTACCGATGACCTGGCAGCAACAGTACACGGAGCAAGTGGTAAACGATTATCATAAATTTCGTTAACTATACAAAATAGTTATACATATATATATATATATATAGCTTTACTCCGTGATATTACAGAACGAATGAAAGATGACACTCGCGTCCATGATATATGTATAGTATATAAAACTCTGAGTAATATTAAAATTATAAAAATATGAAAACTGTGATGGTATTAAACCATATCAGTATCACTGATTGAAACTTATTTTATGACAATATAAATACTGCAGCAGCTTATAGTATTATTATTGTTAAAGGTAACACTACAATGTTGTATTATACGACAATTGTTATAATGTTGTCACTAAAACAATAGAACTTGTATATAGAAGCGCCTCTACACTTTTGTTTTTTTTTTAATTTCGTGCCAGACTGGTTGATGTCGTAAGTCATGATGCCACGAACACTTTTATCGTCGTAATAGTATTTATTTTTTATACGATTTGTCTTTTTTTTTTGTTTTTTCGACATATTGAAATTTAAATCTGAAAAATTAATATTTAAATATACCTATATAAATTAAATAAAATGAAAATAAATTTCGCACGCTCGGATCACGACAAAAACGACTAATGTATGATTCACGAAAACCTACTCAATAACAGATTACTATACTTGTTTCGACAGGTCTCAGATAAGATAAAACGACTTCATCAAATTATACATAGACAATAAATATAACTATAAATACGTTATTTTAATCAAAATAAGCAAAATATTACATATTATGCATTTAAAAACCGTATAAATAGGTACAATAAAAAATTATACAATTCAGAAATATGCAGTACATGTCAAAAATTACAAAATGTGCAAAAATATGCAAAATGAAACTTTCTAGGATCTAGATTTCTTACGGATCTGTTGACTATAATTCAAACTTGAAGCTTTCCTAGCTATTTTTTGGATTGTTTAGAAAAAACATACAAATGTGTATAAATCCGGGCCCTATAGTTATAATACTACCACACATAATTAAATATATGTACTAAAAACCATAAAAAATTAACACAGGTTCTTACATAAAACCAATGTTTGAAACCGATTTTGTACTAGTAACCATTAAAAAACGAAATCGAGGTATCGAACCGAAAACAAAATCGAAAAAATTCAATACCGCAGTAATCAAAACCGAAATCGACATCGCAACAATAAATCAATACCGGTGTCCGAAATCGGGGAAAAAAAATGTTCGGTGTCTAGCCCTGCAAAAATCTGTGAACTTTTTTCACTCACTTCAAATTACATCAGCACAGTTTTATATCTTTGTTTTCGTCTTATTGACTCCAGATTATAATTTTTACTATAAGTATATTTTTGAATTAGACACTATATTCACGAATCAGTTTCCTTCTTTAGCACGATTACCAAAAGTATTGCAAAGACTCAAAACTTTAATGTTAAATGTATACTTTGAACATCACTGTGAACCATTCCCTAATACATATTTGTTTAACTTATTTATAAGATTTAGAATCAATACACTACTGTAACCAGAACTAACTGAAATTTTCAAATTCCTCGTACAAAAAATAGAAACTCGCAAATTGTATGTAATTTATAAATATTGTCATGTATATATATTTGGTTATTTATGTAGTTAAAGTAATTTTATATAAGACCATAATCTAAACTGTGTATTGATGACATTTTCACTGAATGTTTTTATTAGCAATTTATATGCACTATAACCTTTTTTGAAATATTTCGACTCTGTTTGAGCCAATTTTATTCGTTAGGTCAAAAAGCTTGAACATTTAATACAATACTCATTATATATTGTTAGATTGACACTTGAAAAATATTGAAAATTTACAGTCACAACTTATTTTATATAAGCACCTAAAGTTCGAATTTCGATAAAATACGTAAAAATCACAAAATTTGCAAATTATTTTAAGTTACAGAAATTCATAGAATGTTTTCTTTATATATGCAATATTTGAAAATTTAACAGAAAATTCCTTTTAATTTTGGAATTGTATCTTAATTATCTTATATTTTCCCCCAATGCTAAGTATTTAAAACATAGGAACTTTATTCCTATGTGGAATTATTTATTAATCGATAACATTGATAAAACCGAGCTAGTGTCTGATAGG